CCTTAAAAATTGATTTGAAATGTTGGTGTTACTTTAGAATTTCATAAAAACATATCTAGTCCCCTTCTGGGAACAAACAGCAGCATGCACATACATAAAAATGGCAATCCTCTGAAGTTCCTTGTAAATTTTTGTGCCCATATTTTGTTTATACGTTTTTAAAGTAACAGTTTTTAAATTACTTGGCTTTATTTGAAAAAAAAAAAAAGGTTTTATCTTGTTTTTGTCTGCGAACCATCAAATGTTTGTAAGTTGAGTTGGCGACGCAGCCTCCACGTTTGTGGATGCCAAGCACACCGAGCTTCGTGTGAGAAGCTGATAGAATAGTCGAGTGGTACTAGGACCCGCTTCATTGCCGAGCAGCTCTGCACAAAACGTTATCTGTATTATAGGTATAAGTACGACTTTTTGAAATTGTGTTCACACTTTATTTGGGATGTAGGCTAAGTGATAATTTTCGAGTTGAATTGCAAAAGCGAATGTCCTGATTTGGAAAGCAGCGATAATTAGCGCAGTTCAAGCAGGAGCCATGAACAAGCAAATGCCGTTGAACAATGCTACTACTGATGATGAATTATTCAGTTTAAATGTAACAATTAATGCTTTGGTAATGATGATAAGTGACAATAAAGATGATGTGGACCACAGTCAAATATAGCTGCTAGGCAAGCAAATGGGCCTTAATTGGTAATAATGACTGTAATGATGAAAGCGTTGTGCATGAAGAATAAGGAGGTAATAAGGATAATGACGGTACTGAACAATGATGAAAATGCTGAGCCATAGCTGTTAGCAAGTGGCAACATGAACATTTATGATCATAGTGATATAAACAAGTTGAACTCACTATGAAGGTGGTGATTATGGTAAGTTTATAATTCTACTATTGAAAAGAGTTGCCGGCTGGCGAAATTCCTATCTATAATGAGGAAGGATGATGGACCTAGTGTAACTGGTGTTACAAGCAGCCACATTTATAGACAGTTATTTTCTTCTAGAACTAAAGGTAAGCCTTCCAGGCTTTTGGTTTTTTTTTTCACATGTGTATCCACTTGTTGCTACATATACACACACACGAAAAATATTTACTCGCCCAATTGGATTGGCCGTAGGAAATGAGGGTTAACAGGGTAGATGAACAGGAAGTAAGAAAGAGATGACTGAATGTAGCAGCAAGATTATCTGCCAACAATGCAAGGCATTTTCGTTGAAAATAACATAATAAGAATGCTATTGCAGCAACTTATAGTGCGAAAATAGCAGCGAATTCTGGAGAATTGGAGATTTACCAGCAATTAATGCTGTTAAATGCCGAATTTTCTCAAAAAAAAGTCAACTCCGGAAACATGGAGCCTTAGATTTAGGAAAGGGGCATTATTTGTGATTTTTAACTGTATTGCACCAATAAGTGAATATGAATTAAAGTGACCAAAGAAAAAAAGAAAGAGAGAGATATCATGCTGTTTGAAGCGAACCCACAACCTTTGATCTATATGGGCGTCACGTAAGATTTGCGTTTTCAAAGGCCATCGACGCTGATTGGGGTTCGATTTCGAGTGTCTTGGCAACACCTCCTAGATTTCTCGTGCCTGCCGGATTATCGGCGGTCACTCGGGAAACGGCGGTCGTCGGAACTACAGTGGTGGCGCCACTCAAGTAGGGGTGTCTTCAAATAGGCTTTTACGTTTTTGGAGCTTATATGCAACAAAAATAGCGTTAAAAAGTTTTTTTAAAAGGCGTAAACGTAATTATAATTATCCTACGTAAGTGACGCCGTCATTCAGCAAGCAACTTTTTTAATACAAGGCATCCTCTGAAATTAGTAGCAAACGGCAAAATTGCCGATCTCAAAGGCTAAGTACAAAGACCTCTGTTCCTACGTAGGCAGCGCCGTCATAGATGACCGGCGTTTCGCGCTCATCCGGCGGGCACGGTACAGTGTACTAGAAGGCACAGGAAATCTAGGAAGCGTTGGTCTGCGTTTCTAAGCGCTGCTCCGAAGCTTGCGCAAATGAGCCAATCGGCAACCAAGATCGGGCGCGGTCTCATTCGAAAGCGTCCCGCGTGGCAGCCGCATTATATCGGTGCGCGTTCGCTCGCCACCGGCCTTCTTCAACTCGATTCGCTTCTTTGCGCATCTTGCGCGAACTGAACAATCGGGGATCGAGAAATGCCAATCAAGCGCGATCGCTATCGAAAGTGTGCGGCAGCCCCCCTTTGTCACTTTCGTTCTGCTCAATGTTGTTCACTCTGAACTGGTGCGTGGTTGGCCGTGGTAAGTCGGGCGAAAGCCGATCACGTTTTCTGGAATCTGCAAGAGCGGCCTGTAGTCTTTTGAGATACCTTCAAGCTGCCTTCAAGATAACCCCCGTGCACCTCGTGCGACTAGAGCGGAGAACGCTGCCCGCACCGTCCGTGACTTATCGCGCCGCGACTGATAATTCATTGCCTTGCTCGTCAAGTGTTCGAGATCGCGCCATGCATGCTCGCTGGCGCTGAGGTCCCTAGATGAAACTTGTTTCCATCTAGGGACCTTAGCTGGCGCGAGTTCCATTCCCGGTGTGTCTGCAGCCGGTCGACGATGCGAACGCGAAGCCCTGCGCGCCTAATTAAATTTTAGCATTTTTTTTCTTTATTCTGACTTCCGCCGTCGCACGTCTGTGATGCTCACTTGCGTCCAACGTTTCATGCGGCTGTCATAACCGCGCAGAAAATAGATTTCGCGCAGCTCCAAGAATAGCGTTCCGTTCGCGGGAGTTCCGCGTATGTTCGTCTGTTCCGGACCCTCCCTCCCCCCCCTTTTTTTTTACTTTAGCTACGCAAGGCAGTAAAAGTGTGTGTGTGTGTGATATGTCCGGGACTAAGCTAAGCCGATCCCCCCCCCACCCCCCTTTTTTTTTCGCTGTAAGAGCCGTGGCAAGGCCGGAAAAGAACTGCATGCCCTTCGCGCCGAGAGCGGTTGTTTATCGACACTCTTTCTTTCTTTTTACGACGTTCTACGGATGTTGAGATAGTGGCTGAAGGAGCAAAATGGGGTCCCGGAGGTGCAAGACCTTTTGCGCTTGTCATGCTTTAGCGCGCGTCTCGTCGTATTGACGTCATAGTCTTTTTTTTTTTTTTCTCGCGCGCCATTTTGTATCAGTAGCCGGTGACGCAAGTCATTCTGCAGTTTTAGACATCATATAAACAAGTATTCGGTGTGTGTGTGTGTCATCCTAGATTTCAAAACTACGTCACTTGTTGCGCGGCTATATGTTTCATTAACTCTAGGCGAGCACTTTTCGGAGCGATGCACTGGGACAAACGGAAGGGATGGGGGGGGGGGGGGGAGATATTTCACAACGAGCACATTTAAGTTTAGGAGTAAAAATTTTGCTTTTTCATTGACGTGCACAATCTACACAATAAAGTTTTAAATTAGAAGCTATGTGGCAAAGTGTACAGAACTTCGATTGTCCCACAACTTCACAAAACTAGCGAGTTTCGTGAATTTTTATATATATTTTTAACTTTTGTAGTCTGCAGTGCATGTACAGATTTGGCAGCTGAGTTTGAACTTTTTGCCTTGTCAAATTATTATGTAGAATTTTCTGCTGTGATGTCTGTCACAATATTTATGCCTAGTGGCCCTCTGAGTTTTTATTCAATTCCAATGGTAGAATTTAGATTTTGCTACGTTTGCACATTACTCTAATGACTACTATGATTAAAACAGGGTACTTTTGAGGGCTTGTTTCTTTGTTTGACACAACGTTCATTGAAGCTAATGGCCATCATAGTGTGCTGGGCCAAGCTTGGCACCCTGAAGCACGGATTTAAGCATAGCAAACTTAAATGGTAGAGAGTGCACTTTCAGTTGTGCCTAACTAAACGAATTAATTACTGGTTAGGTTATAGCTCAATAAAGCCTCAATTTACTAGTGTGTTTGGAAGAATAAGTAGTGAACAAAAGAATGTGAAATAGTGTGCAAGAACGGGACAGTGAAGCTGTACAAAGAGACGTGTCTCCATGTTTCCTTGATTGCCCCGTTTTTGTGTGGCTTTACTGGCCCATATATAATCAATGAACAAGTTGTTCCCTGACGGATTGACAAAAAGTGGCTATACAAGGATATTGGCCAAGCTTTGAACAGCAGCTCCTCCTTTTTCATCCTATTTAGCTCCAATGCTTGCAAATTAATATACTGATTTTCTGTGTATTAAAATGGAAAAAAAAATAATTCCAGTTTTCACAGAGAAATCTTCTCAATGGCCTTGGGGGGAAACTGCATTTTGGCTTTGCGTAGTGCTAATGCACAGCTTGATTGATTGATATGTGGGGTTTAACGTCCCAAAACCACTATATGATTATGAGAGACGCCGTAGTGGAGGGCTCCGGAAATTTAGACCACCTGGGGTTCTTTAACGTGCACCCAAATCTGAGCACACGGGCCTACAACATTTCCGCCTCCAATTGAAATGCAGCCGCCGCAGCCGGGATTCGAACCCGCGCCCTGCGGGCCAGCAGCCGAGTACCTTAGCCACTAGACTACCGCGGCGGGGCACTAATGCACAGCGATTATATTGCGATTTTAATATTTTTGATGCCTTTCACTGCCTTTAGCCGTCCGCCATTAAAAATTTCTGGGCCACGCTTTTTGACTAATGGCATCTATTGATACCAAGGGACATGAAAAAAAATGCTCCGGAATAGCACGCCAGGATTAATTTGCATTGTAAATTAGAAAGTGTTACCAGGTAGGATAAGGCTGTGTGTCTGATCTTCTTTTTTTGTCCTGGTACAGCAGTATACTGCAGCAAAAGAACAATATTGGAAAGAACGTAGTTGGGTTCTCCCATTTCATTGTATCATTACTATAAATAAATACACAAAATGAAAGAATGTCGGGCAAAAAGTCCGTTGACCTGGTGGGTCCCATATATTAATGCACCCGAAGACTATCAAAAACCATCGACTTCTAAGCGAGATTGCATATATATAAGCGCCCACTTTCGTGCAGGTAATGCGCAGCAGCAGCAACCACAGCAGCAAACACAACGAGTGGAAATCAAGCGCGTGCCGACGACTACAGGAGAGCGGGTTACTGCAAGACCTGTGATGCTGAGTGGCGGCCGCAAAGTGTTGCTGGTCCAGCGCAGGGATCCTCCACCGCCTGCACCACAGCGGGGCTCAGCTGCTTGGCGTTGAAGGCCATTTGCTTGAAGGCCGTTTGCCGTTGAAGGTACCAGCATAAAATGCATCGATGCGGGAGTGTGCAGCCTGCTGCTCATTAGGCACAATGCTAGTCTTTCAGCTCGTGATGAAGGGATTCGAGATTACAAAGGCAGTTGTTTTCATGTCATGTATTTAGGATTTTTTTTGCTGTTGTTTTACATACGAAAATAGTGATACAGCTTCAACGAGCTCATTTTTCACATTGTTGTACAGTATCATGCAATGTTGGTTTTTATCGGATGTGTAACAGTTTTCCGATTTATATGAGATGTGAAAGTTCTACAAGTGATAAAGGGAAAGAAGACAACCACTTGTTTGTAGCACGAAGCCTCAAGGAAATCTGTACGGATTTCGCAGAAAGAAAAGCCTCTTTGTTGCCAAAAAAATGTGTCCTGGTCCTGGGTATGAAAACGGGGCCAACGCCTTACCGGGGCAGTTGCTCTACCAATTGCCAATCAAGCTAACCAGAAGCTAGCAATTGACAGCGCGTGGGTGAATTCACCGACAAATCGAAGCACATGGACACAAGTATCGCAAATGAGTTCTGCAGAATTCACAGGTGGTGGAAGCGTTATGAAAGAGAAAGAACACAACCGCCCATTGTAGCACGAAGCCACAAAAAGCTTAGAAAACATAGGTAGATAACCTTTATCAACCACTTTATATTACTAAACTCAAAGACCAAGAAAGCACTTTGTTGCGGTAAAGCCTGCAGGCTGCACACTCCCATCCTCAGATTTCTTTTGGTGCTGACGGTACTTTCTCAGCAATGATTTCTAGCAAGCCAACGAAGCAAGCTTTCCAAAGGACATTCCAAGCGTCACCTCGTGTAATAGCAAACAGGCCAGCGTTTCTCAAGAACAGTTCTTAAGTGGCCACACCGTTGCCCAGTACATGGCGCACCTGTATCCGCCGAAAATCAAAATGAGCGTCAGTAACTGGTTAATGGCCATCAGTAACCAGTTGTCGATCCTGCTTTGTTTATCTGAGAATCTCCCAAGTCTCGCCAATCTGTGAAAAGATTTTCCGGCAGCTATAGGTCGACTTCTCGAGGTGTGAAGTGGCTATGCAAGAGACGAGATTGGAACAAATTTGTGTTGGTATTGTGGCTTGTCTCTGGTAACTTCGTTCTTTTAAGTGTAACGAAATACTATTCTTCGGCGCACAGGCTCAGCTAGGGGAACATGACTGGCCTTTCTCGACTCGTAACGCGCTAGGTACTGTCGTACATCATACAGCGTGTTGACGGAGTTCGGTTCTGCAAGGCAATGGCCGCTGCTTGAGCCACTAGGCAGCTACATTCTGAGGAGAAACAAAATTCATTGTCATTACATTCATTTGTGGTCATTTAGGCAGTGCTTGCAGAACCTAGTTTCATACTAGCATGGATCTCAAAACCTTTTCTTCTGCAAAGCCATTGTAAATAAGCATCTTGTGCCACGCTTGCTAATTGTAGCAGCTGTGTTGTTGCACCAGAAAAAAAAAAAAAACTCATCTCCTTTACTCACAGTGCCATGGTCACACATTCATGGAGTGGAAAATAAAAAAATGCCACACGTCACTGGTCTGTGTTGTGTTTAAGTGGAGCCAGCGTTCTCACAAGCCACCGTGTGATCAATGGCTGCGATGTCTGGAAACTGGATTCTAAGGTGGGTGACAAAAGAAATGTCGACGTTTGAAACACGGAAAAACAGTTTAATGATGAGAAATGTAATTGGCAACCATGATGTGTGACCTCTCAGCAAATGAGGTACCAGTGAATCTAAACTGCCGTCTCGGGGTCTGAATGGTAGCAAGGTCTCCGGCCCCAGCTCCATACGCTCACCAAACCGTCCTCTGTAAATGAAAAGAAAAAAAATCACTCAAGGGCATGTGAATAGCATACATTTGTTTGCAGACAAAGACGTGCGAGAGGAAGGGGCTTGTTTCCAATGAAAACTGCCTCAAATCGCACAACTTATTGCGATCGGCTACGAAGAAGTGAATCGTGACCAACGATTTGAACATTAGCCAGCGTGAACTACCTGCCGTCGCACTAGGGTGCTTCGCGACTGGCACCATTGGCGTCCCGATCGTACAGCCATCATTCGATGAAACAAGTCGATTTCGTGTTCCTGTGGATCTGATTGTTTCAGAAGCTTTGCAACTGCAGTTTTTTGGCTGACCCAAAATAGCAGTTTTTTTTTTGTGTGTGTGAAAGTGAGCATTCGTGAGTACCTTCAATCAAATTGGTCGGACGACTAATGCAAATTTCCAGTGAGCACATTCTAAACCAGGACACTACCAGACAATACATGGGAAAATTTAGACTTTGGCAGCACTAGGTGAGTAAATGGCAAGTCACGCTATGCATCTCTGTGCAATTAACTACTTCTGAAGAAAGCCTGAAAAAAAAAATATATAGGGCTCTCAAATGCATACCGTTCGTGCTTTGCTAATGGGAATGTGCAGATATTTAGTCCGAAATACTAAATGTAAATATATTGTCTGGCTAGTGTTTGAATGCCGCAAAATACCTCAACTCCTCTCTAACAAGCACAATACATCTGGAAGTCAAACGGACTTCATTCTTAGGGGGCTGGAAAAATTTATTATGTGCTTTTAATGCTAAAAATAGGAACACTGGGATGTGAACATTTTATATCACTGCAAGAACATTTCAAGGTGTTCAATTTGGTATCAAGTATCATTTTTGGGCCACTATTCGTCAATATTCACCTTCATAAAATATAGGGGGCAACACAATGGTACAGAAATGGAAAGACGCAACAGACTCGAATGCAGCCAGCCTGCAATGGTAAGTATCACGATGAGATGTCGCTATATATTACTATCAGTATTAAAGCTATTCCTTCACGTGCTTCATTAACAGTCTAGATGCCGCTCTGCAGCAAGTGGAAGATACAAGATGGTACTAGAAGGCAGTGAAAGGAACTTTTCTGATTATAGCAGCGAATGCTTTGAGGGAAGTTCACCAGAATATAAGCGTACAACCATTGTACATATCAAAGCAAGCAGACAACACATGAGCAGTTTCATTGCATTCGATGGTGAATGAAAGCTGTGATGACCATGCGATGTCTTAGGACATATGTACAGTCCCCCACATAGGGGCGGGGTCAGTGGGGGACATGGGGGCTGGAGCCTCCCCAAATTTCGCCGCCCCTTTCCCCCCACCAAAAGAAAAAGGAAACTTAGTGTAAAGAAACGCAAGGTATAACTTCCCCGCCCCTTGCCACCCTGACCAAACTCTTCCTCGGTGCTCCCTCTGCCCCTGCAGTAATCCTGTCCCTTTCCCCACATAGCAATGCAGACACCAGTTATTGCATTCTTCCATTTACAGTGATTGATGATGATGATTCTTGTTATTCTGGCACACACCCACAAAGGGGGATGGCCCAAGAATGCGAGAATGTGTTTGAATACAATTTGAATCCTTCTTTTGAGATGTGAAGAAACATGCATGAAAGGGGTTTATAGCTTGAACTACTTGCAAAACTGCCTGGTGCATTCAGTGAAATTCTTCATCCTTTTAAAGATTTCAACACTAATATTCCATCATTAGGTTTGTTATATTAACTGTTCCACTGAAATAAAAATTCACCTTAGAAGAGGTGAACATGGAAAGCATGAATCTCAAACAAAGAACAGCCCTATTGTTCTGAAAGGTGAAAAAGCTAATCAAAATATTAGCCATTTGTTTAGGGTGTTTGTTCACTGTATGCATATGACGAGAATTGTATGGTTAGCACTGCTTTTTAGATATTTGCTGCTGAAACATGGTAAATGCAATTAGAACAAAAATTGACAAGTTTAAGGCTGGATGATTTTTAGCTGCTTGACACGTGTATGGAAAACCGCAGACTACAATGAAAACATACGCGCTTTTAAGGCTGGGCTAGTGCTATGATTTCTGCAAAGCGAACACGGTTGCACTACTGTCGAGCTTCTATCTCGCTCATAAGAGAGCTCAGTCACGAATGATTTTCTGAATGACAGTTAATGAAGCTAAACCGTTCTGCTTTAGGTCATTTCACAGAAGTTGCCAGTTCAGTGAAATGAAGTTAATGCTAGCCAAGGTGAAAGGAAAGAGTTCATGAACAAGATGGTTGGATAGTATTTTAGACACCAGAGAAATATATAGGCAAGCTTTAAAAAACTCTCTGGTGTTTACATACTTGAATCACTAGGTGCCACTGGCGAATTAATAATTCATAAGTGCACCAGAATAAGGTGGACAACACTAGAAAAGGCTGTCTCAAAAAAAAAAAAAAGAAAAAAGCTGTCCGGGCACTTAGGTTCACATGTGATCTATTTCACAGCTCGACACGTTGCACTGCAGCTTAAATTGAATTCTCGTAGCAAGTCTCGGTGAAGTCGTTGCAGTAGAGACAGCATAGTAAATTACAGCACCGAGTTCTAGGAACAAAGCTAAACTAAAGCTCTGCATTTGCTTCGCAAGCTGCACCTTAGCATACCAGGTTTTTGCAATTGCAAGATGCTGAGATTACGTAAACGCTCTGAAGCTAGCATCTGTTTTGAAGCATTCGTGCACAATGCAAATACACATTGCACTAATACCATTTTGGCTTGCACTGTGCAAGAGCCATTTGCCAGAAAATGTGTATGAGAGTATACTCAAATGATGTATAAAGTGTTCATGTACTAAGTGGATGTGTGAAGGCCAAAATAGTATTCAAAATATTCCACACTCAAATTGCTTTATATTCAATTACTTAATTTTATACTGAGCCATCTGTAGGCAAGGGCTTCACTAAGCTGACTGTTTGGCTAGCAAGCTGATCACTTAATGCAAAATGCCACCAGGTCACAAACTCCCCGACACCTTGTTGATACCAGGCAACTTTGATTTGAGACATCACATCATGCGGCACATTTAAGCAGCGGAGAAGCCGCACCAATCCTAGACCGTAAAAAAGAAAAGGAAAGGTGCAATGCAACTTCAAATCAACTCGTATCACAACACGCCTTTTCAACCCACCAACTTTTGTGCACAAGCTTCTTACAAAAAGTAAGAGTCCACACTTATGGATAAAGATGTTATGCAGCACAGTGCTTAGCGTGTGTTCGTTGCCATGGCTCGGGTCATTACAACCGATTGCAGAGCTACCATATGACCACAAAATTTTCTCCCAGACTACCCCTCGAATAATTGTACCAGTGCGTGAAACGGCAAGGTAAGTTCAAAAGCTGCGTCATTTGAACTCGTTCTTTTGCCACAGCTGCTCGAACATGCGTAGAACGCCTGTGGACCAGAAATTCTTGATAAGCAGCGGCGACGGGGTGACGACTGTGCAGTGAGCTACGCGCAGCGTCTCACCCTTTTCTCCGTGAGACGCTTTGCGAACAGCGTTCTCTTTCATCTGTATGAGAAGCTTGGTCGTCTCGGAAGCGTTCTCGGCGTGCGGGTGGTTCTGCGTGGATTCGGTGACGAAGAGCAGCTTTCGCACGACGTCCTTGCCGACCACGTTGTCGAACACGGCCTGCAGGAAGGTGTCGCCGCTGATGGTGAGCTTGAGCTTGTCGCGGTTCCAAACGACCACGCGGCAGCGATCCATCGCCGTCATGGTCACTTGGAATTTGTCTCCGCCGGTTCCGCACACGCCGAACCACTCGGGCGAGTCGAGGAACTCGAAGCGATCGACGATCTGCAGCGGCCGGCCCTTGTGAGACACGAGGAATCTGCCGCTCAGCAGGAGCGTGAGGCTGTCGGCGCGCGTGACGTGCTCGACGGCGTACGTCTCGTGCGGCTCGACATCCTTGAGCACCTTGACGCACGACGCGGCCGCCTGGAACTGCTGGCGCGACACCTTGAGCGGCTGGAAGAGTTCGCGGTACACAACTTCCATGTGGGGCGCCAATCGCACCGGCCGCAGTACATACATCAGCACGCACACATGCACTAGGTTGATGGCAGTGAAGAACGCGTTCCACACCATGGTGTCGAAGGCGCACAGAATGACGTAGCCCCACAGGGCGAAGAAAAAGCTGCCCATCGTCAGGCACATGCGCAGGTACAGGAGCCCGTAGAGACCCGCGGGTGCCATGTACGAGAGGAAAAGAAATATGTTGGCCAGCTGGAAGAGTATGTGGTTCGTGGGCAGCCATGTCGGACACACGGCCGTCGCGAAGTAGCTGCCCATGGCGAACGCGGGCACCGGGTCGGACGCGTTGCCCGCAGCCGACGACATCGCGTCAGGACGACCGCGCACCGACGCACTGAAGAGGGCTTGTGGTCTGCGGCAGCATATCCTCGCGATCAGCAGATAAAAGCGCGCGAGATACCAACAACGCCTGGCGTGCCGCGCTCATCTTTTACGCTAGGCGACGCAATCCAGCACGACTCCGTCGCTGCCTCTGCGGCAGCCTCCAACGCCCGCATGCAGCTTTCACTGAAGCCAATGAAAACGAAGCGAAGAGCGTGCGGCCGCACGTGTCGCTAGAGGAAGCCTGCTTGCTTGCTCCCGAGTGTAGAGCGAACGCAAAGAAAAAGAAAAAAAAGCAGGGGTCTCGATCTGCAGCGTTTGAGCGCAGCGCATTTTTCTGGTCAGAGTGACGCAGAGAATGTAATGTGCGCGGTCGTAGTAAAATAAACACAACAGAGGAGGAAAATAGCTTATCCGCTTGGCTCAATGAATCATGCATGAGATAACTGATTGGTTGAAGTAAGCGAGCAACATCTAGAAAAGTCGCGCCAACAAATAAAAAAAACCAGTAAGCTACAACGTGCTCGATGCGTGGTTCACAACTTTAAAGGCACTTTTTTTTTTCTCACGTCAGTTTGTTTAGTTCTATCGTGTGGTAGAGTGTAGTTTTGGTTTAGTGGGCAGCACCTTCTCTAAAAAGATGCCTGCGACATCGCTCGCTTTGCCATGAGCACGGGAGGTTCCTCGTAGTTTGGTGCTTTCTCCGCAAAGAGCGCTCGCAGCCAACACTACTTTTCTTTTTGCTCGATTTAACAGTGACGTCATCACAAAGACACATCGTGTTGCCTCCGAGACGCCAGTAGACATTGTTTTAACCTCAGAGGCAGCAAGTCTTAAAGCAACCGCCGCAGCGAGCGGTCAAAGCTGAATGTTTGAGAGAAATGGGGGAAGAGCGTTGGGCTAGGAAGTAGAGAGGCTGTTCTAGCCTCTGTACTTGGAAGGTTTTCAGCTATACATGTACACACCTTTCCTTCCTCCGTGCTTGTACACGAAGAATGTTGATACAAAATGGAGGAAGCGAACTAGAAAATTGACTGGTAAATACACGTGGAACAGCAGGTGGCCAAACCAAAAAGAATTATCGGTTAAGAAGAAAGTGAAGGAAACGGAGACTGACATGTGGAGAGTTGGCATGATTAAGAAGTCTGCACTAGGGATCTATCAAGCTTTTAAGCAGGAAATTGCCAAGGAAAGAATCTATGATAATACTCGGGGTATACTGTTTGAGGCCAGGACGGGAGTATTGCGAACCAAGACATATCGGGCCAAATACGAAGGGGTAGACACGGTATGCAGTGCATGTGGAGAGGAGGAGGAAACTGTCGAACACTTCATATTGTTCTGTAAAGACTTCACCCTATAGTTCAGGATGATGGCGCAGAGTTCTTCAAAGCACTGGGGTTTAGGGACAGGGAAAGCAAAATAGACTTTAAGCGGGTAGAATTAACTAGAAGAAGGTTATCTGATTGGTGGCTAAAGTCAATGCACGAGTGAAAATAAATATTTCACTTCAAAGTACCAGTCCTAAACTTCATTATTTAAAGGGGGAAAAAAAGATAAATCTAGTGATTAGTTAACTAAGTATTACGGCTAGGTGGCATTAGCCGCCGCCAGGTCTAAAGGGTAGAGCCATATTCATCCATCCATTTATTAAGAGAGCGGAGAAGAGAACCCCCCCCCCCCCAAAAAAAAAAAAAAAAAAACAGGAGAAAGCCGGGAACCAGCTTTTTATATCAAGTCGCAGGCATCTTTTTAGAGGAAGTGTTTAGTGGGGGTACAGTGTACTAGAAGGGGTTCTAGTACACTGTAAGGGGGGGGGGGGGGTTACAGCGGTGGGTCACAATGAGTAAAATCCAAGTCAAGTCAAATCCAGTTCCAATATAAAGCAAGCGAGGTGTTGTGTGCTATGTTCTGCGCACCGTGGTTCTGTCACAGAACACCTGGTTCTGTGGTTCTGTATTTCAGTGGGAGGCACTGCGCCGTGCTCCCAACCGGGCTGCGGAAATTACGTGCCTTGTTCCTCTTCTAACCACTACCGCCACCACTTGTGTGGGGTGTTCTTTGGCAAGCGCAGCCGCACAGCGTTCCGTGTGTGTAAGACTGCGTTCGCTGGCAAAGCGTCTTGCGTTAGATCAAATACACCTTTGCAGCTGTGCAGGGACGGACAAAGAATGAGAGGCAGTCGGCAACGCCAACGACGCCGCGGCAGGCACGGTGATCAGCTGGACAGCGCTACTTCGTCGGGAGGTGACAACGGGCAGGACGATGCGTTTCATTTGCCGGGCTTCTATTACGACGCCTCTCAACGGCGCTACTTTCGAGTCACGCCTGGCCAGAACAGGCACAACCCGCTCACGATGGCATCCATCGATGCCAAGCTGTCGGAAAAGAAGTGCCGAGAAGTCGTCAAAGCGAGTCTTCAGCGCAGCGGCAACACCGCTCTGCCCCGGAGCCTGAGTCGCATGCAGATTGGACTGCTACCGTACAGCAAGTTTGCTGCATCAGTGCAACGCGTGCGCATGGCGTCGCTCAAAGGCACCGTGCAGGCAGAGATTGAGAGCGGTGGCGAATGCACCTACCTTTCGGGACTGCGGGATTCGGATACAGCATTTTGCGTCGGCGCGTGGGCCACTGAAAATGGAGACGGCCGTCGCGGCTACGACCTCCGTTTTGTCGACCTCGCCAGCTCTACGAATGACCGCTGGAAAACAATCGCCTCAAATCTAGCACATAAGGTAATTCGTCCACACACGTGTTTGGCGAAAACGATAAATTTAGCATGTGGAGCGCACAAGGTAAACAATTACAAAAGGCATCGCCAGCTTTATCTAGGTAATGTTTATTGTGGCAATGAAGTGTAGCGTGAATGTAAACTGTCAGTCACAAATGTCACTCATGATGCAGCAGCACACGTGCTATCAGCACGATTTCACCAACCTTTTGAGCCATGCAGTCACAGAAGTGCAGTTTGCATTGAAGACATACACTCTACATGTCTAGGTTTTTTGTAGGTTCAAATAATTGTAGTGTTGGTGTCCTGGAGATGTCTTTTAGTAGCGCGCATAATTTTTAATATTTGGATATAAAAGCACACGCTCTTATTCTGGTTGGTACATGCTTGGTGCAAAGAGACAGCGCTTTAGAGAAGTATAGGGGCAAATAGCATACACAAACAATGTATCGTCCAAGAGAGCCAGGTACAAATTTCCTACTAATGAATGCATGTGAACAGCAGGTACAAAAGTATGTTTGCTCTTGTGCATGTGCCAACTTTTAAGTGGTGAAACACCCATGATCATAGGGTATCACTAATGAAGGATCTTTCATCGCTTCATGCTTCCATCTTCCCCCTGAACTTTTGCCTCATTTGCATTTCAGTGTTAGTGTATTTTACATTTGCACTTTCATTTCAGGTGATGGACATCAGTGTTTGTCGTAAACCTGACGGAACAACCTACACACTTTGTGCATATGTTCCCCCAGACTTCATGACAGGCTGTGGAAGTACCATGAAGTTGTTTTCCATCAATGACGGAGAACTACGAGGAGTGTGGGCTGCCTTTTATAATACTATATATAGCTGTGCCATGTCAACTGGAAGGCGGGCCTTTGCTGCTGGCATGGAAAAATATGTAGACCATCTGCAAATTCGGGAGGCTGCAGTGAAGAGCTCGCTGGTGATTGCCCGTGAACGCGCACTCAGTGTGGAGTTTAGTGAAGATGGCAACCTTCTCTTTGCGGGAACACACCGTGGTAATGTGATGGGCTTTGACTTGCGCGACCGACCACATTTAGGTCCCACTTTTGTGATTCCTGTTCATCGTGGTGTGGTGTCCCTTAGAGTGATTGGCCCTAGCCTGAGGATGATTGCAAGTGCCTATGATGGAAACCTGGTCCTGGTGAGTTGTGTATTATGTATTTGTCGGCATACTGTCCCCCGTGTCTGTAGTTACTACTACTAAGTATGGCAAGTAAGTGCATCAGTGTCTGTGTGTTTTTTAATATGATTCCAAAATCTCTCATGTGTACTGGCATTTGCATTATGATTTTTTATCTACACATTTCTTTTTCTTCCCAGTATACAGTAGACTTGAAGGTATGCAGTTTATCTAATGCCCCTGACACACGGGCACACTGAAGTCCTTTAGACACGGGGACATCTTTCGGAAAGGCGTTCGGGCGCAGTGACACACGACAAAGGAGTAACTCCTTTCCGGCAAAGATCCTTTTCGCAAAAGCAGATCCCGCATCTACTTTTCTGGCAGGAAGGGAGTACTCTCGCATACAGTGTGCATAATTTATCAATAGAAGAAAACGTGTCGCAACACTGCGGTGCCCTGTCAGTATTTTTTTGCGCTGAGAAAATGTTTTCATTTTCAGCAGCAGTGCGATTTGTTGAAAAGTGAAGGCCTATAATCTGTCCATACTCTCAAACGCCTGCATTACGTCACTAGCGCGATCATGTTAGGGTTGGCAGCGGCAGTTGATGTGTCGGTGACGTAGTATCTTGTAACAGTGGAGTCGGCTCAGTAGGTGAAGAAAAAACCGCGCGTCCAGTGGACTGAAAAGGTGACGTGGGTGCTGATAAAGCTATGGGAGGACCATTTGGACGCCTTGCAAGGGCAAAAACACAATGGTGGAGTGTACCAGGCGATTGCCGAGAGCCTCACCGACGCCGGTATTCCCCGTACACTGTCGCATATTCACAGCAAAATTGCCTTCGCAGCGTTTAGCTCATCTTCGATAGAGCCGAGGGCGACAAGAGTCAGGCCCACCTCAACTGTTGCTTTATCTCTGTCTCTGCGCTGAGACATCGCAGGACCACGATGAAACGCGGCACGCCGTCACTGACTCAGCTGGACGCAGCCATGTAAAAAGCATGACAAAAAAAAAAAAAAACAGCAACACACCGACTGTTCATAGTTGAAAGACGAACTTAAGTTGCTGCTAAACACGCAAAAAGGCGAAAGAAAATTACAGGTATGCACATTATAAGCCACCAGACAATAAAAAAAAACGGTTTTACACTCCGGCATCGCTGAATGTGATGTACATGCGCAGATTCTTTTTAATATTTCCAATCTTGCTGCTTCCACAAACAGCGCCATTTTTTCTGCAGCGTTTTTCTGAGGCACCGCCTAAAGCAGTAGTCCGGTGCCGTGTGGTGGGCGGTCACCAACGCTGTTGAATAAAAATAAAACCGGCATGCATAGAGCATTCCCTTTACTTACCAATCGTATCGGCTTGAAGCGGGTACGCACCGATGACATACACTTTTTCAACAGGCCAATCGAAACATTTCCTCACTTTTATGTCATTCACTGTATGAAAACTAGAAAGCAAGCCAGGACCGTCTCTCCCCTCGTAGTTGCTAAATGTCTTACCGAAACTCTAAGCACTGAATACAAGGTAACCAAAATGGCTAGTGGAGACCTTCTCCTCGAAATTCGAGACAAAGAACAATTTGAAAAGCTAGACCGTCTCTCAGCTTTCGGTGACATACTGATAACCATAACACCACACAGATCAATGAACACAACTCATGGAGTGGTATCTGACACGAATTTACTTGACCTGACAGAGACTGTACTTTCGGAGGGGTGGAAGTCAAAATGTGACCAATGTACAGAGAATTATCACCAGAAGAAACAACAAGAAAACACCAACCAAACACCTGATACTCACGTTTGGGTCTAGTAAATTGCCAGAAACCATTCAAACTGGGTACACGAAGACCTCTCTCAGGCCATACATACCAAACCCCCGTCATTGATTCCAATGTCCGAGGTATGGCCATGGCTCTAAAAGCTGTCGTGGTCGCCAGACCTGTGCACAATGTGGAGTCCTGGGCCACGTGTCTGAGAATTGCAAAGAGCAGCTGCACTGTGTAAACTGTGGCGGAAAACATGCTGCCTATTCACGTTCGTGTCCATACTGGAAGAAAAAGGGATAACGCTGAAGGTCAAAGAAAACATTTCTTTTAAGGAAGCAAGGAAAAGGGTCTCACTATTCTACGGCCCAACATATGCTGACGCGGTGTGTCAGGGGGCACCGCCGCACCAACCCTCGCCACTCCCTCGGCCCGCACATACCGAGCCGGTGGTTGTGGCACCTGCCCCCAAGGCGGCTGTAGTCCAGACTACTCCGCCTACTCCCTAACAGAGACAGGAGACTCTAGGGTCCTCATCCTTGAAGGCCTCGCCTCACCAGGCGAGATCCGGAATTTGAACAACCAACTCGCAGGCGCGTACGTCCAGTGCCTCCGAAAAGGCAATAGATTTGTCGGTACCCTTGGTGCCGAAAGAGCGTCGTGGCTCCTTAGAGCACGTCGAAAAAACAAAAAAAAAAGCATATAATGGGGCCTGGTGACGGACCTGTTACTTAAAATGAAACTTCCCACCGAAACAGCTTCTTGTTCTTAGTACTCACAGCACTACATTACTTCCACCATGAACACTCAAATAATACAATGGAATGACAGGGGCCTTCTAGGAACCTTGACGATATCCAAGAACTTTTACACGAGCACTCGCTGAAAGTGCTGTGTGTACAAGATACACACTTAAATCCAAGACACACCAACTTCTACGTAAATACGCTATTTTCCCGAAAGAACCGGGATGATGCCATGACATCATCAGTAGGTGTTGCCATTATAGTGAATCAAGGGATTGTACGCACACACTTTCAACTCCAAACGTCCCTTGAGGCAGTGGCAATTCGAGCTGTGCTTTTCGACAAACTGATCACAATTTGTACTCTTTACGTACCTCCGCGCTATCACCTGCAAAAACATGACTTCCAGTCCTTGATCGATGAACTTCCAGAACCTTTTGTTCTCCTTGGAGACTTGAATGCGTCTAGAAGGCTATGGGGCGACTCTCGTTGTGACGCCCGAGGTCGACTGATAGAACAGTTTCTTCTCTTTTCCAGCGCATGTCTCCTGAATCGAAAAGAACCAATCTATTATAACCTCGTTAACAATACCTATTCCTCCATAGACCTAAGCATAGTGTCTCTGCTTGTGCCTCTACTTCACTGGAAAGTCATCACGAATCCCTACGGAAGTGACCATTTTCCCATAGTTTTGAGCACACCTACATGAACTGCATGCTGCCACAGGTTCCGAATGGCTATTAAGCAAAGCTGACTGGGAACAGTTTTATACCATCACTCATTTAAGTTGGCACGACATATGCACTTCAAGCATTGATGCGGCTGTAAACTACTTCACAGCGTTTCTGATTGATGCTGCTACAGAATGCATCCCACAAACGAATGGACACCCTGGAAAACGATGTGTGCCATGGTAGAACTCTGAGTGGCGAAATGCGCGCAAGCAGCAAGACAAAGCATGGAGGCTGCTTTGGAACCCACCAGCAGCCGAAAATCTTGAAATCTTTAAGAAAATGAAGTCTCAGGCCAGGAGAACGCGTTGGCATGCCAGAAAAGAAAGTTGGCAGAAGTTTTTATCAGGGATCAACTCATATACACAGGAGGCAAAAGTCTGGAACATGGTTGGTAGGGTAGCAGGAAGACAAGTACACACACTCCCACTTATAAACACACAGGGTGACACCTTAGAAGATCAGGCGAATTTCCTCGGTGCACACTTCGAACAGGTGTCCAGCTCGTCTCACTATACTGGTACTTCCCTATAATACAGAACAAAAAATAGAAAAACAAATACTCGAACACAAATGTACAAATTACGAGGGGTATAACCAAGCCTTCAGCTTAGCTGAGCCCCAAACATCACTGAACTTCTGCAGTGATTCCGCTCCAGGTTCTGATCGTGTGGTTTACGAAATGTTAAAAACCTACCAAACAAAAGGCAAAAAACGTTACTTTGTTTGTACAATGCTATCTGGTTCTCTGGCGCTATCCCTACTTCCTGAAAAGAGGCTATTGTTATTCCCATATTGAAACAGGGCAAGGACCCTGCTTCAGTTTCGAGTTATAGGCATATTGCGCCTACAAGCTGCCGGTGCAAACTTATCGAAAAATTATAAACTGCCGACTTGTACGTTTCCTTGAAACAAACAATATGCTCCACCCGTTTCAGTGCGGGTTTCAAGAGGGGAAATCCACCACCGACCACCATGTTCGTATTGAGGCACAGGTCAGAGATGCTTTCGTCCACAAGCAATCATTTTTGTGTCCCTTGACATCGAAAAGGCTTATGATACAACATGGCGCTTTAGAATATTAAAAGACCTGTTTCACCTTGGCGTGAGTGGCAGAATTTTTATTCTAATGAAAAGTTACTTGTCAAACCGGACATTCCACGTTCGAGTGGGCAGCGTTCTTTCTCAAACATTTGTCCCAGAAACAGGTGTGTCGCAAGGCGGTGTACTTAGTTGCACACTTTTATTATCAAAATGAATTCTTTGCGCTTGTCCATTCCTCGCAATATGTTTTATTGTACATATGTTGTCGACGTCCAGCTTGGTTTTAAGTCTTGTAATCTGGCTGTGTGTGAACGGCAGGTTCAGCTTAGTTTGAACAAATTCTCCAATTGGGCAGAATAAAACGGGTTTCGACTGAATGCACAGAAAAGCATGTGTGTCTTGTTCTCCAGAAAAAGAGGCATTCAATTGGAACCCGATATTCAACTGCATGGGCAAGGTCTTTCTGTTAATACTGAACACAAATTCTTGGGCCTAATCTTGGACACCAAGCTAACCTACATACCACATATCAAATATTTAAAAAACAAGTGCATAAAAGCTATGAACGTTCTAAAAGTGTTGACACGCTAAGTGGGGAAGCGACAAGAAGTATTTAATGAATTTGTATAAAAGCCTCGTACGTACCCACCTAGATTACGGGACAATAGCATATCAGTCTGCGACACCTACTGCCCTTAAAATGCTTGACCTTGTTCATCATCTAGGAA